ACACACACACACACACACACACACACACACACACACACACACACACACACACACACACAGCCATGAAATCAAAACGGCATTCAAAAAAATAAACACAGCACGGCAAAGGAAAGCCAATCAGAGCAACTCTGGTTCTTCCACACACAGCGGGACCCTTTGCAGTTTTATTCACACACACATGCACCTCTGTACCATAGTCCTTGGAACACGAGGCAGGAGACGGGCTGCTGCAGCCCAGCAGCCAATCGGCCGTGTTTAGAACGGTCATGCTTTCACCTATAGGGGTGCAAGGTGGAAAGGTGGTGAGGACATGATGCTCTGATAACCAGATACACATCTCAGGAAGTCTTTTTTAATGACGACTTAGAATGGGTCACTTCAAAAACTAAAAGATCTTCAAACGTTTTGGCTCCAAGTATTCTGACATTCATGTCGTCATCCTAAACACGCTGGAAATATATCAACTCAGCAGCTCAAAAATAACATTAGAACCAATAAGGTTAATTACATCTTTAAAATGAAATGTTCTTTTGTATCACAACGGAAGTGTAATTCTGACTCTTTGTCTCATTTAACACATATTTAAGTTTGGGTACTCGCTGATACCAAGTACCGATACCGAGTACTTACTGTGTTAGAACCTACAGTGACTTTAAAAGTACATTTCTTTTATTTAGAACAAGATGTCTGATACTGTTCCTCTGACTGTATAAAATCAAATATACATCATGATATATATGGTTTCAAATTTATAAAATAAATAAAAATAATATTTTCTTTCAACTTGTTTAAATTTCTTTAACATGGAACTGACAAAGTTTTCACTTGAAATGCAAACTGCAACACATTTAATGGAGCATCAATACCAGTATCCCAGTGAGACTGATATTAGTTTCAGTTTTGGGCTTCGGGGCATTTTGAATACGAGTAGGAGGGGCTATTGCTAACCGCAAAATTCAAATAAATTTCAATTCCATTCGATATTGCTTTAAATGTTTCAACATCGGTTTCCTCATAAGAAGTAGTACACAAATAATTCATTAGAGTCTCTGTGGATCATTTTTAGATATTTATTTTCAGAAATGGTATATCAGGGGTTCTTAACCTTTTTGACCTCAGGGCCCAATTTATTGAACATAAAATGGCACGAGGCCCAGTCAGACATTACCGGTGTACGGATCAAAATGATAATTATTCTAAATCTTGGTTTAATTTTTATTGTATTTACATTATAACTAAATTAAATACACTTACATTTTAAAAGTAAACCTCCTGTCAAATAATCACAGGACATGATTATGACAAATATTTGTTTATATTGTAACCTGCCCATAACAATTATTTGAACAAATACAACGGTCAGTCAACAGACCACTCAGGCTTATCAGCACAAAAATACGTACATATTTTAACATAAACACTAACAAAAATAGACAATTCAATAAATAAAATTGTGGGCATAAAATAAATAAATAAAAAATGTTTAAATGTTTCAAAAACAATGAAAATGTAAAAATAAATTTGAAGTACAAATGAAAATATAGGCTTTTTGTACTTTTGCATGGAAGAACCAGAAGCTGCTCTTCATATTAGTGACTAACATTAACCGTAACAACAGCTTTTTGACAAGTTTAGTTTCTTTAAAAACATTAAAAATATTAAAAATAAACTACAAAAAATAATTTAAGTGCAAATTAAAATATTGAAGTATCTGCAACTATTTTTGATAGTGTTTTGAACTTTTAAAATAC